CCGACTAGAGAAAGGGAGGGGTAGCAGGGACTAATTCCCGTTGCCCGGACTCAAATGGGGGCCCGGCAACTGGTTTTTTTTTGTTTTGTATGAGAAATCCGACAAAAGACAAGAGGGGAAGTGTTTGGTTGGGGAGGTTTTTTTTTTAGAAAATTTAATTTAAGTAGAGGAGGAAAAGTTTTACCTTGAGGAACTTTTTTTTTGTTAGAAGAAGCAACTCAAGTAGAAGAGGAAAAGTTTTTTTTTGTCACAAGGCCCGATCTAGAGAATTGTCCTGGAGCCCGGCCTGCCTCTAGGCGGCCCTGCCTAGATTCTGTACATACAATTCAAAAACTTTATCCTCGCCATCCAATTGTACTTTTTATTAAGACTGAATTACATCACCTGCATGAAGAGGAAACAAACCTGAAGATACTATGGGTTCCTTCACATGTAGGAATCCAGGGAAACGAAAAAGCTGATCTTTACAATAAAAAGTTACAAGAAACGACAAAGCAACGGTAGTGCGCGAAGAAGTTGCGAGTGATATAAAATCTAGTTTCAAAGAAAAATGTGATCGCGAGTGGCAACGCAGATCGAAATGAGTCCAGAGATGATGAGTCCCAATTAAAACTAAAATTAATGAAGCCGTCTGTGAAATCGCGTAAACCTTGTGAAATTTACTCGATTGCGCTTAGGTCACAGAAACATAGGCGCCGAATCACCGGGGCTCTGGGTGCGCAAGCACCCAGAGCAATTTGAAATTGGGTGCGGAGCACCCATAGCATAACGTGGACAATAAATGTCAATAAGTGAAATGAAGAAGCTGTCGTGGCCCAAGTTGGTATAGCGACAGGATGCCTCGATAAAATATTGTTCTGAGCTGTATTTTTTGTGATAAAAAATCGCCGTCATTTGTCATAGACAACGCATTGAACCTGGACTTAAGAGTTTATTATTTTTGGTGTATAAAACTCTATGACGTCAAAAAAGAACGACTAATGACGTTCTACAAATATATGATATTGAGCAAATGCTTGAGGGAAGGGAAAACATTTGGAAGTTGCTCCCGATCAAGTACCGATAGAAAAAAAGAAAGTTAATTTAGAGTCAGAAACAGTTTTCTAGTAGTACTGGCGAGAAATCAGGTCATTTATTTAAAACACTCGGACCTGTCAATTTTTGATTTTAGGGGGAAACCTTTTTCACCCCCTGAGCGGAAATCCTTTATCAGAGGTGAGACTCACCCCTAAAATCTGAACTGGAAAGAGGGGTCTAATGATAGCTTATTTTAAAGGTATTTTTATATAGATTATAATCCCCGAGTTTTACATCGCTACTATCTATGTAGCCCATACAGTGGCTCACCAAAAGTACAAAACCGGTTTAACATAATTTTTACATTGTTATTAAAAAAAGGAATTCTTTGTAACAATTCTAGTTTTATTCCTGTTGCTTTCAATTATTGTTATCAGATGACATTCTTTGGTTGATGTAAAGTAGTAAGATTTAGTTTATTTCGTTAGAGTCGGCATAAAAGTGGCATATCAGTGATAATGGTTTACTCATTTGCTGAGAGGGTGCAAATAATTTCACTTTTTTTGCGAACAATGAATGTGCTAATAGAACTGCTAAACTGTTTAACAATCAACATTAAAATCGACAAGTTCATTGAAAGTATATTTTGAAGTTAGTCCAAAAATTTTGGGAAACTGAGTCAGTAGCTACCAAATGACGTAAAATAGAAAATGCTATAGTAAATGGAGATACAGAGGTGTTGTTCAAGAACCCACATTGAGTACAAGGCAGTTGGCGATAACATCTAGTATTAAGAAAAGTATCATTCAGAAGATATTGAAAAAATATCCCTACAAGATACATCTGGTATAAGAACTTAATGAAGACGATTTTGATAGGTGATTACAATTTTGTGAAATTATGACTGAACGGGCAATAAATGATCAGTAATTTCTTTTCAATGTGTTTCTCAGACGAATGAACTTTTTTCCTAAATGGTACGGTAAATCGTCACAAGTGTCGTTAGTAGTCCGATTCAGATCTCAGAATATTTAATGAAATACATACGCAATATCCGGAAAAACTACATGTTTGGGCTAGCATTTTCGGTAATCGTATAATTGGCCCCTTTTTACCTGGAACTTTAACCGCAGACATGTATCTGGAATTATTAGAAAACGCCATTTATCCAGCATTACTAGAGTTGATTGAGAATGACGATCAGTACATAAAAAACAACTTAACATTTCAGCAAGACGGTGCTCTACCCCATTTTGCACTGACTGTTTATCAGTATTTGGATTAAACGTTTTCAGGTCAATGGATCGGAAGAAGAAGAAGTATTGAGTGGGCTCCACGGTCTTCAGATCTAACCTTGTTGGATTTTTAATAAGGCCACTTAAAAACTAAAATTTATGCCACCCAGCCAACATCACTGTGACAAAGGATAATTGATGAATGTCATCAAATCACCTCACAGATGCTTTAAAATGTCCGAGAGCGTTTTGAACAAAACCTTTCTTATTGCATGGAGGCCCAGGGTCAGCATTTTTAGCATTTACTCGAATAACTGGTAAGCTTTTACAGAAAATAAAAATCGTTAAAAGATCATGGCTAGGAAGACAGTAGCGATTTAAAACTCAGGGATTAAAATCTATGTAAAAATGTCTTCAAAATAAGCTTTCATTTGAAACTAGGAAAACAATGTTTCCTCCTAAAATCAAAAATTGACGGGTCCGAGCGTTTTTTCGTAAAGGAACTGGGTTGCGACAAAATTGGCTATGTTTTGTTTTCAAAAGGCCACCATTATATGTTTATTAATAAATTATCAAAAATCTCATTTAAATTAGTTAATAAATGTTTTATATGGTTTCTACTTATTTCATTGGTACTCTAGCACTGCAGCACCACTGAATACCAGTGGTGGCTGCACCGAGCATATGCCAGATATCCCGATTTAGGTGGGAACCTGCAAGCCTCCAGCTTACCGATTGTTGAAACCCCGTCTGCCGCTTCAATCCTCAAAACTCCAGCAATTGGAAATGTGACAATACCTTTTTTTCAAGACCAATTTCATAAAATTAACGCTTTAAAATAGCTTTTAAAATGCTTTTAAAAAACCGGTGGTGACTTCAAGTGAGGTGTGGCACCCAAAGCAATTTTTGAGTTCCGGCGCCTATGCACAGAAACCTTACACACTCTTCTCATGTCTAAAGATCAGTAATATTTGCAACACTCACGTTACTGTCAAACATTTATTACTAGATGGTCCGAAATTTGTTAATGAAAGAAACAACAATAACTTACCAAATAATTTATCCATTTTGTTAGATGAAAAGTGTCATGTTCAAAATATTGTTAAATATTTAAAAGACATCCATATTTTTTTACAAACTGTAATTTCTGACAAGTCGCTAATAACTCTGTGCGGTTGATGCGTAGTTTTCTTTTGAAATTAAAAAAAAAAACATAATAACCAACTTTTATTTAAACAATTTTCTTTCACCGCACAAGAGATAAAAGCTTAAGTTTACAATTTGGTATTTTTCTGTTTATCGATTTCAGCGTTATCTTCAAAATTCGAAATTTCCACTTCTCAAATATCTGGAATACGGTCTATTTTAGGGAAATCATGGATATATCAAGAATTATAGAGAATCACATCGTAAGCAACTTTCATTTAAACAATTTTCTTAAAAATTTTAATGTTGCACTTTTTGTCAAATTTCTCGAAAATGTACCATTTTAGAAAAATTATGTAACAGAAAAAAATATAGAGAATAATATTGCAAGCAACTTTTAATTAAAGAATTTTATTCTCAAAGCGTAAATAGCAGATATTTTCGAGAAAGTAAAAAAACGACCTTCCTAAAGTACCCCACCAGGTGTTCATATTGTGCCCAAAATCTAATCAGCTCACCGCAGGATAGGTTAATGCTTATGTTTAAAATTTGGTGTTTTTCTGTTCATCCGTTCATGAGTCATTGAGTATACACACGGTGGCATCGCATATTTTCGGAGGCCATAATATCTCGAAAACGGTATGAACCAAAACGAAACAAATTGCTGGCCCATTGATCTCTTCATTACTGAATCAGGCCCAATATTTTGTACACACACAGTACATAGCCTAATATAATCTTTTATGCTGCGATTCGTATAAGCAGCCCCTGTGTTGCCAGATCTACTATTTTAATAGTAGACCTACTGATTTTGTCTGTTTTACTGTTTTCCTGTTTCAGGCATAACATCTACTGTTTTTGTCTCATTCTTCAGCAAATGTACAAAGTATATTTTCTCAAGTAAATTTGCTGAAGTCAAAGAAGCATAATAAGTTCAATACAGCCAGTATTGTAGGTTTGCATCAGACAATCATCATGTTTTGATTTAAAATACAACAAAGAAATAATAGGGCATTGTAATAAGAACATTCATGACAAACTCAACGTATTTGAACTGTCTGATCTAAATTGATCTGAAAGAATTACTTATTATTTTTCATACGTTTTTTTATTTATTAAACTGCAAATTATAAATAGTTTTCTTTGTATTAGTACAATATACTGTTCAATTTCGATGATTTAATTTTTTTTTTTTTTTCAGGAAATGTTCCTCTGGCAACACTGACCAACCCATTTATTGCGATGCTACTTTATTCTTTATCTATGTATGGACCCCATGAGCAGGCCCGACGATAGGGAGGGGTAAACGGGACAAATTCTCAGGACACGGGCACAAGGGACTAGGGAGGGGCCCGGCAGCTTTAGGTGAGGACGTTTTATTTTTTTATAAGTTTATTACAAAAGGGAGGAGCGGTGGTTTATGTAAAATAGAAGATGAGGACCTTTTTTTTTTAGAAATTTTACTAAAAAGGATCTAAGTAGTTTTTGCTGCAGGACCTTTTTTATTTTTTTTTTTAGGAATGTGATATTGAAAGCGATTAATTTTTTTTATAAAATTGTCGCGGGGCCCCACCTGTAAAATTGTCCCTGGGCCCCACCTGGCTCTCAGCGGCCCTGCCCATGAGCCCAAACGAGAGGTATCCTGGCCCATTTATTTATTTCTTTCCGTTTTCTGAAACATTGCAATACCAATTTGATATCAGCGATTTTTAGCTGTGTGAAAGAGGCAACATCGCATCTTGCAACTACTACAATTCGATCAGTTTCTGACAGTAGTCGGTTCCGAACATTGGAGCAGATGTGCGTGTTCGCATTGTATCTGGCGTTATAAATGCGAGCAGAAAGTGTACTTACCTTTAAACTGTGATACCCTTTCCCCAAGATGGATACGGGTGCAAAAACCACCAAAAAACGCAACCCCGCTGAAAATGCCAACCCACTGTCTCATCTCTTATTTTTGTAAGTAAATCAAAAATTACGAAAATGCCTTTTATAAAATTGTTTGTCATGTCAAAAAATTATATAGCAAATTGACATTAGTTTTTAAAATATCAATTTATTTGTTTTAATTTTTCAGTCATAACTTTGCGACCGCTTTTTTATTCTGTCGGATTTTGTGTAAATAGCACACGCATGAATAAAACTAATTAGCAATGATGAAATAGAAAGAAGAAACGAAAACTGTTATTTTTATTTAATAAAACGTTTCGTAAAATTTATTTTTACATCAACATGAAACAAAACAATTATAATAATATAAAACAAGGTACCTAACTAATTTGTGAATTGTTGTGCAAATGTTTGCAAGAAATTCAATAAATAAAAAATTGTATTTGCATTCCGAATAAAAACTTAAAATTAACTATAAATTAATTCCGGTCTTTAAATATTCTTTATCAGAAGTTATAATAATTTGTGCCTTCTTACTTAATCGTCCATTGGCGTCTCTTAGATACTGTAATTCATAACTGTTTTCTTGGTTTACTTTATTTGTGCTTACACTATTTCAGTGTGCTTTCTTCTTTAACGGTCAGTATCTTGAGGTCCGGTGTAATTATTCCAAATATACCTATTTCGAAGTACTTAGCGCAACCCCAAAGCTGCACGCATAAAAGTCGTAGTGGTTTTAAGACTTGCCAGTAGATGAGCATTTTATTATGTAATGATAAAAATTGCAATCGTCTGCCCAAACCAATATATTTTTTTATATTTCGTAACTAGCTCTAAATATTTTTATATTGCACTTGCAACAGTCTGAAATTTTATTTTGTTGCAAGTGCATTATGGAGAATGGAGATTTTTAGACTAATGTTATGTGGTGCATTGAATTATTAATAATAGCTTTCCAATGAAGTGGCACACTTAACAATACGTAACAGTTTTTTATTCAAGCTAGAGGGCGCTAAAATCAAAAATAATACATTGTTATTTCCGATTCTCCATTTTTATTTAAGCTAGATGGTGCTAAAATACTGCCCAAATAACAGGGTGAACTGTTTTGAGTGACCCACTCTGTATAACGGAATTATATTATGTCTCTAAAGTTAAAAAAAAAAATTAAAAAAGTATAGTCAGTCATAACGGACATTAATAATATAATGTGAATACTAAATTAGTGAACCTACTTAGTTCATAAACACGATATGCTGATATTTTTTGACATGCAGACTACTTCGTAACCCACTTCATTTGCTAATGAGAGCTAGATACCTACTTGTACATACTGTGGTAATCTTTCAGTATTTTTATTTTTTATAGAATTGTTTCAATTTTGACATTAATAGATAAATGAGTAAAAAATAGGGCGTTAAAAGTTGCCACCAACCCTGATAACGTGCCACTCCAGAAGGATTTCCATAATTTAGTTTTTGTCATAGTGTTACTTTCTTAAAGAACAAATTGTTCAGCAAAATATTTAAAGCGGTTTTTCATTTAATTGCCAAATGTAATATTTTATTTTAAAATTTAAACATCTTGTATCTCAGAAACAAAGATCTTATGGCGCTCAGGTTTAAAGAAGACACGAAAACCGATGCGTGTTTTCCATGACGTATTAAATTTCAGGCCGTTACAGCTCCGCACAGTTGCCAAATGGTAAAAATAATAGGGGAATCTTGAAAAATTGGCAATAATTGTAGGTATAGAAAATTAAAAGATTAAGGTTTGTTCCAACGAGTAGTACAAAATAGATCACCTAGAACTGGTGTTCCAACACAACCGTAGGACTAATCGCAAACTAATTTCATTACTATCCAGTCAATTCTTGGATCTTAATAGGCATGTTCAAAACTAAAGCGAGCTTGTAAACCTGAAAATTTCGTCTATATTTGACAACATAATAGCTATTTATTAAACCAGTTACAAAATGCAACAAGTGAATATTTGCGGTACGAGCAGAGCGAGGTCCCGCAACATGAACAAGTTACATAAAACGGCATTTCGTAACGTGTTACATACAATGTTTTTTCTAATTTTGATTAAATTATTTATAAAATTGTGTTTTGAAAAAAAAATTCTGATACCTTGGCAATCAATATTACTTTCTTATATTCTTAGTCGCATATGCATTTTATTGATAAAAAGAAAATCATATTAATTTATTCTCAACGACTAGTTGTGTTTATATTGTTTGTTAAAGTTATTTAGTTTTCAAGAAAGTGGGTTATTTTATCATGTATTGTTTTAATTATTTTCTAAATATATAGAATAAAAAATAGGGATCAAAACAGTATTATTACTAGGTTATATGTTCAACCAAATCCTATTTTTATAAGTTAACCTTATCGTAACTGGTGACATAATGAATTTTTCGAAACCAGTTTCATAATGTTCAACATTATGCAACTGGTTGCGTAAAGCAGATCATTTTGACACTTGCTGCGATTTCAAAATCAAAAAACTTCACTTTATATGCAAAAATTAGAAAAAAATAATTCCTATGAATCCTGATTTTCGACACGTTGACGAAGGTACAGTTGTCAAAAATTATTTGTGAACTGGTTTATATATTGTAAATAAATATACAGGGTGAGTCGGGAAGAACGGTAAACTCCAAAAGTGCATTATGCACGTGAAAATCATCTAAAACAAATAATGTTTTTATCCAATTTTCATTTGTTTTCAAGTTATAGCGTAATAAAATATTTTTATTTAGTTCTACTTGTATGCAAATTATTTTCGCATATTTTTACATAATAAGGCATGACCATAAAACATTTGATAACGTTGTTGTTTTGATAAGGTGTCATTGAATTGTGGCTGTGATTCAACGTTTATTGTCTAGTTTGTTCGTTTAGACTTTAGAGTGTTTCAAAATCACTTATTCACATTTAGAACATGCAAATATCATATTTGTTTATGTTTTTTTGTAATGAGCCCTACGGTTTCCACATCAGAGAAATTCTAGTATAAAATTATGCAATTGTCTTTATTTTTTATTATGGTATAACAAATGAAAATCGGATAAAAACAATATTTTCACGTGCATACCTAATACACTCCTGGAGTGTGGGCTGTTCCTTCCGTCTCACCTTTATAATTAAATGATTATGGGGTCTATTCTGTAAAAATTCCTTTATATTTAACGGCCTTTAAAAATATTTTCTTCTTTAGTTCTGTCATTATTTAAACGGATCTTTAAAATAAATTAGAGGACTATCTTAACGAAATCTGTTTAAATAATGACAGAAGTAAATTAACGAATACAAATATACTTTTAAAGACCGCCAATATTTTTAAAGGCCGTTAAATATAAAGGAATTTTTACAGAATAGACCCCTATAATAGTATATTGAATAATAAGTATTATATATTCCATACGAATGGAAAAGTTACGCCGTAATATTAATTTGAAGTGTGATGTGTTTCATAATTTTCCTATTGGAAAAATGCAATTTACGCAACCCTAGGGTCGGGGAGTGTGGGACTCGCCCAGTGGCGGCTAGTGCTAATTTAAAATAGGTGTCCAATTTTTTCCAATAATTTTAACATTTGTTCAGTTAAAAACTTTGTGCAAGTGCTAATATTGCTTTTTATTATTATAATTATTAACATTATACTATTTTCAAACACTACAACTATTAACTAACTGTACTCTAGTGATATATAATCGATAAATAATCTATTAGTCAAAAATAATCGATTATTTCAAAATAATTGATTGATCAAAAAGAATATAATATTTTTAAGTAATCGATTAATCGAAAATAACTGATTATCTTTTCGATTATTATTATTATTATTATTATTTTGATAATCGCGCAACCCTAGTTATAACCTAATGTTCTTAGCAATCAGTTTTAGCAACACAATTATTTAAATAGTTTTATTTGAGTAATTGGATTTTGTTTATTAATTTATATAAATCTACTAAAATTTACAAAAAAAAAATACTACTAAAACTAGCCAAAAAAGCTGAAATTTACCAAAAAAATCTAAATATGGCAATGTTGGATAAAAGTCAGAGTGACCCGTAAATTAGGGGAGTGCGAACACAAACATATGATTTACATTAAAGAAGATATTGGTGTTTTGTTATATTAAAAAGTGAATGTTTTAGTTATTGTAATATTTGTTTTGTTTTTAATACGTTGAAAACCATCTGTAAACATTATTAGTTATAGTAAGCTGATTTTTCTTCATATTTTGAGATTACTTTTGCATATTTATCAGATTATGCAGAAAGCTTCATTGATTTTTGTATAACAATATTATTATATGAAAATTTACCTACCATTTTTTTAGTTTTTATTGTAAATTTAATTATTTTCCTAATTTGTCACATATGTCAAATAAATCATATATATTTTTTTTATTACCTTATATTGTCCAAATAAAACAAGTGTATAAGTATAAGATACGTCCCACATAATAGACTAAAAAGTAGATACAATCGAAAACTTACTAAGTCAAAGTTTTGAAAATTATGTAATGGGTATATCAAAACCACGGAGGTATGTCATTCTAGTCAACTGTTTAGTAGAGCAGACTGAATATTGTTTGGACACTTTTTGTGTTCCATATTTAAATTATAATAATTATATTTTAACAAGAAATGCAGTTAGCCCCAATTATTGTCACAATATGTATTGTTTACTGATAATCTAACTAACCTTTTTTTTAATATATATGAATTATTTTTGGTATTTGTAAAATATTTCTATGGTCTGATAACAAATTTTCTATGATACAGTGTTATATACCCACAACATGCCTTTATAAATAATACAACTAATGTAAGAGTTGTTTAGCTAGTACTTTCTCTCAAAAATGTTGAAATTTGCATTTTTATGCCAATTTTTGAAAATTTTACAGAAGCAAGCAATCTAAATATACTCTCGGCCGTTACTGGATACCGTAATTGTACGAATATGGCACCTCTATACTTTAGACCCTAGGATGTCGGGGGTTTCCTGCAAATAATCGAAATTTTCTGAAAATGTACTATTTCATGGTATTCT